CACTTTCACAACACCCCGCAAGCTAAGCAAACCCTCAAGAGTTAATACTTCAAGATTATTCATAACTGTCAAGGAAGTAGATGAAGATGATGACAAAGAGACCACACACCCTATCCCTTGGCAATATTTCAAAGCACATGTTTGCAATTGAGTAAAATCTTTCTGAAAAATAGAAATATCACCAGCCACTCTGCAGTGTTCAATCCTCAAATCTTGAAGGTCATCTGGAAGGACCAACTCATCTTCTTCTCCTATATCGAACCTGGATAAAATTACCCGTTTAGGAAGATCATTATTGTCAAACTTCCAAAAATATCCCTCCGCTCTGCATACGTCTCTGAATCCGACTCCGATAAGAGAGTAGTGACTGAGTCTTCCAAAAAGGTTCAACTTGCTAACAAAACTGCTGTAGTCTTTCATCCAATAAAATCTACCTTCAAACCATTCCAGCATCTTCAATCCTGCTACTTCTTCTGCTCTTATTTCAGTTGAAAAAATCGGATTTTTACATAGGTATTGGAGGCGGAAGAGCTTACTGATTTTTCCTTCTGGTAGCACCCTTAGGTCTGGACAAGATAAATCAAGATATTCCAGATTTTCTAACATTTCAATGCCTTTAGGAGCCTCACGAAGGCCTGCTCCATCCAAATCCAACTTCTTCAGTGCTTTAAGCTTTGACAAGGAAGGCATGCGTTTTAAACGCACACATCCACAGAGGATCAGTGTAGTGAGATATTCCAATTTACATATGGAATTAGGTAGAACCTCAATGCCAGTTCTAGAAAGATCAAGAAACTTCAGCAGGGGCATGTTAGCAAAAAAACACTCTGAAATTTGTTCCAATACTTTATTACCCTCCAAAATCAAGGTTGAGAGCAACAAGCATTTGGGGGACATATTTTGAGGGATATATGATATTAGATTTGTCATGAGGGAGACCTTGTCTAGATCTTCATTCCATTCATCCTCATCCGGTATCTCTTCCAATCTCATTCCAGCTTTTACCATAAACCTACCAGGACTCGTGCTCTTGATGCGCAATGCCATGTCCCTCACAACATCATGCATCTTAACACACGCCTTATTATAGGCTTTCTCTAACAAACAACAGTTCAAAAGTCTACTTAAAATGGTATTTCCTTTATCATGCATTTCTCTTCTGCTTCCTAATTTTTCAACAATTCCCTCACAAATCCAGGCTTCAATTAGGTCTTTTCTTCTAATCTCCCAATCTTCCGGATGCAATGAGCAATATAAGAAACACTCTTGGATGCTTGAATTTGGTAGACGGTCATAACTGAACTTCAAACGTTTAAATATCTGATCTTCTGAATCTTTCTCTGTGTCCACCACACATTGACGCAATTCACGTAATGCATTTCTCCACTCAAAAATATCTTCTACTCCTCTCATGCTCCCTGCAATGACAACAATGGCCAATGGCAAACCAGCGCATTCAGCCACCATAAGCTGCAAAATCTCTTCCAAACTGGGAATTCGTAGAACATCTCTCCCAACCTTATCTAAAAACAAGTGCAAAGACTCTTGCTCTGGTAGAGGTGGCACTTTAACTACCTGACATCTCAAGTAGTTGCATACATCAATGGATCTACTAGTAATAACAATTTTGCACCCATTTTCCATTGTTGGTTCTGGGATTCCAATGCTGTGAAGAGTAAATTTATCCCAGACATCATCTAAGATCAGTGCATATTTAACTTTTTTCATAGCCTTCATCAGTCTTGATGCCCGGTTCAATTCATCCCCCCAATCTGAAGGATTTTTGCCCATTGCCCTAGCAATGTCATCTTGCAATCTGAAAACATTGAGAGGATGTGATACTGTAACCCAGACAACCTTCTTAAACCCCATAGCCTTAGCCTCATTCAGTAATTCATTATGGATGTGTTTCATAACAGTGGTTTTGCCAACTCCACCGATTCCACAAACTCCAATAATTCCAACCTCGCGACTCATTAAGTATTCCCAAATTTTTTCCTTCACATTAACCTCGCCCACCATATTCTCTGTTGGCAAAGTGATTCCAATATCTGGAGACCTTTCAATTACAAGACCTTCAAGGAAACTACCTCGATCGTAAATTTCCTTCACATCTTGAATCTTTTGACGAACACGTCTCCCAAGGTTACCACGTGACAAGCATGAAACATTCTGCACCTGCTTTTCAATATCTGGCATTTCAATTTCAATGACCTTCCTTGCATCTTCAAGCCATCCCTCCACTTCTTCTTTGACTTGTTTTTCCGAGTCATCCACTGTTAGTAGTTCTGCTACTCTATCATTTCTTCTGCGTTTTAGAACTGCCACTCTTTTTCTGAGATCATCCACATCATTTTGGAAGTTTATGCGGCAATCTACTTCTC